TATGTCGCAATTCTAAGTTTATATCTCACATTTCTGACTTTTGGGAAAAACTCAAAATAGTGAGATATAAACTCAAAATCATGAGGAAACAAGGCAGAATTTTTCATTTAAATTTTTTTATTCCATGGTGGAAACGGGCTTCCATAATCCTTTAGACATTATGACAGTAACGGCTCATTGAAAACTATTTTAGCTGTTATGCTAGGCTCACATTTCCTCAGTCACAAACCAAAACTAATCACATTTTGCATCATATTACAATTTGTAGACTTGTTACTCAACTAAAATTAGCAGCAAAACGTTAAATCAGAGCTGTAAGTTGCAGTCAGTGATGGGATGTGTTGTTAGGTGGCAGCAGGAGGAGGGGAGTAAGGCAGGTGGCGGTTGGAGTGAGATTAGCCTGTCCTGCTGGACGCTGATAAGACACCCAGTGTCCATGCATATCATACTCACTGACTCACTCACTGAATTTACACGGAGAGATAGATGAGTCTGTCGAGGGATATTCCTTAAAAAGTAGTGGGAAAATAAATTACATAAGTACGGAACAAGATTTCCAAGTTAGCACCTACTTTTATATCTGCATATTTAAAGATACTTTGCCCAATCCACCTTATTTTGCAACATGGAAGTGAGCTATTTTTTGTGAATGTGCGAGCCTTCCGTTTCATTAACCGCTGTAGGTGAATAACTAGAAGAATAACAAAGTGCAGTAGATGGTAAAACAATTTACACTACAAACCATGTGTTTAAGATTATGATAATAATTCAAAAGAAGAATTTTACAGCTGAAATAACTGGAAGTAAATGACACCAGAAACCTTGTACTTTCAAATTACTTAAAATGAGTACTTTAAAAATAAGCGAGTGTGTATGAAAATCCTTCAGTAACAGCATTCTGGAATGAAAAAATAATTAATAATAAAATTATAAATTTAATTTTGTTACTGTTCTAGAAATACATTTTTATGGGTAAAACAAATGACAATTAAAAAACAGCAAAAATTTTGTTTGTTTGTTTGTCTGTCATAATTTACTCATGTATTTAAAAAATAAATAGTTTGTTTCTAGTTCATTCAGTGATCCAATTAGTTATTCAATTATTCAAATATTTATGTAATATTTTCTATTATTAGTATTATTATTATTATTACTATTATTATTATTATTATTAATATTATTATGTAATACTCATTATTAGTAGTAGTATTATTAAAATACATCTCTTTATTATTATTATTATTATTATTATTATTATTATATTCAACTATTTGTCATATTTATTATTATTATTATTATTATTATTATCCAAATATGTAATATTTATTATTATTATTATTATTTAAAATACATCTATTATTATTACATTTATGTAATATTCATTATTCAAATACATATATTATTATTATTAGTAGTAGTATATGTAATCTTTATATTATATATTTATATTATACATTTTG